GTTCAGTAAACCCATATAATGGATTAATCTGCAATCCAGGGTAAGCATGTTAGGTGCATGCAGACACACAGTCAAATTGCACTCTATAGCTATTGTTTCATAAAGAGGAGGAAAGTTTGGAGCAAAATCTTTCCTCAAGCCAAGGTTGGTTCCTCTGGCTAAGGAGCAGAGCTTGGCTTGCTTTTGGTCAGAAATGTTCATGCACTTCATACTGTGGTGGCTGTGTCTCCCTTGAATGTGGAGTTCCTCCATCACCAGCTGCCTCCTTTGCAACCAGGCAATCTCCTCCTCCTTTCTCTTCTCTCCCCTTACAGGCCATGGATTCTGGCAGTTCTCCTTCAGTCCCTCTCATGATTGGCTGTGCAGTGTCCTGTATGGCTTTGCTGACCTTGTTAGCGATCTATGCAGCATTTTGGAGGTACGTTGGCCCAAAAGCCATGGTTAGAAGTAGGCTTGCAAAAAACTACCCCTGGTTAATCTCAACAGTAGGTGCAGACATACAGTAAAGCAGGACCATAGACACAATTGGCATTTGGGATGGGAGTGATTTCCTGTGTTTGTGTGAAGGAATGGTTGGATGAAGGCCACGCTCAGGGAGATAAGCACTCCCTTAGCCCCCAACAGGAGTGTGGGAAGTTTAAGAAGATGAGACTGGCACCACCCTACGGATTTCACAGTGTTTTGCCTTGCTGGCTTGGGAAGTTAGATTCAGTCTGGAGAGATTTCTGTCTTGAGGGGGAAGCTAATAAACGCAACAGAACTGTATCTGCACTGTCTCGGGGAGTTCTTTGGGCTGAACCTGACAGTTAGAACCAACATAAAACACATTGGCCACCTAGACTATCAAACTTGGCCCCTTCGATACTCTTTTCTTTTAATTTTCACATTTGATGTTGAGGGTCCATTAAGACATTTGGTGCCAGATCTGAAGACCCTGATTTGTTGTCACTCATTATGTTTACCCCCTAGTTTTTCAAGACCTCTGTATTCAGCAACAGGCATCGAGGGGAACAGGGTAAAACGAAACAAAGCCGTCCTTAACAGACACGAACCGTTTGCAGCAATTTTAACTAAGGGTTAAATTAAAATTCAATTTTAATTTCATCCGCCAAGGAGGGAAAAGGATGGTTTTTTCGTTCTGACTCCCACTTTTGAAACCCTGGATCTATTCCACATTTGAGATTGAGAAGATACAGGCAGAGGTAACAATTACTGAAGATTAAACAAGAGTTTGGGAACTACCCACAGAGGCCTTCTTAAAGCATTATGTGCGCACCGTGGGAGACGTTTTCCTTTGGGCTCATCCCACAATACCACAAAAGCTTATGAAAGCTCTCCTCCCTCCACAAACAAAACAGCTGCGGAATCAGCGTTCACCCGCCCATAGAATCAACACTATACATGATGGTGGTGTGGGTGGAGTTGTTGCTAATTCTAAAAAAAGAACCCTACAATTGTTGTGTGGCATTAAATCTTGCAGGAGCACCAGGCAGTGAATACATAAATAAATATTTCCCCTCATGCTCCTGTAGCCTTACAAAACCCATATAGGTTAACAACCACTTGTTCAGCGACCGTTTGAACTCATGACAGCGCTGAATGAGTGGTGCTTATGACCAGTCCTCATAGTTGTGTCCCCACAGTCACATGATCGTGATTCAGGCACTTGGTGGCTCGCAGTTACAGTGTTGGAGCACTCCTCAGTCATGTGACCACCATTTGCGACCTTCACTGCTGGCTTCCAACAAGCAAAGTCAGTGGGGAAGCTGGCAGGAGGTCACAAATGGTGACAATGTGATGTTGCACTTAACAATGGTGTGGGATTCGCTTAACAACAGCAACTGGAAGTGCCAGAACTGCTGTGGCTAAGCAGTGTGGTCACCTGACATTGCACTTTACAACTGCGTTACTTAGCGACAGAAATTCTGGTCCCAATTTACCGTCGTTAACCAAGGACTACCTGTATGAGCACAGAGATAATCAGATTCAGGGCCAGATATCTCAAAAGAGAGTCACTCACCTGCTTTTATGTTTTCCAGGTTTATCAAATCTGAACGTTCCATCATTCTTCTGAATTTTTGTGTCTCCATTTTGGCCTCCAATGTCTTGATCCTGGTGGGACAGTCCCAGATGCTTAGTAAGGTGAGAGACGTCACTTCCAAACAGGAGCACATCTTCTGCCATGCTTTTGTGTTTAGTTACACTCTGCTTTTGGATGTCCCTTACGGATTTTCTTATTGGGTGCCCTTGTTTTTGATGGAAAGTCAGAAAAAAATAGACCAAATTGGAATAGCTTTCAAAATGTGCAACATTTTGCCTTCTAATTTAGGCACTTCAAGCCTAAAATGATGGCACTTAATTAAAAATAAAATCATTTTCCTGGTTACTAGTTTATCTTCCTGGTAGTTTTTCTGTCAATCAGGGGTTTGGCAGGGCATTGACAAAGGCAGGTTTTTGTTTCTCTGAAGCTTTGTGAGTTATTGTGGATTATAATGCATTCCCAAAGTGTATGTTTCATTGTTCTGTTTCAAACATAGAGATGTTAGCGCTGTGCAGTGCTTCAGATCCAAGGGTGCTGGGCAGTCATGCAATCTAGGAAAAGATGCGGCTGCTTTAAAGACTTGCTTGAATGGAAAGTAACAATTCAGTTTTACAAGAAATCAAAAAGTAAACTAATAAAAAAAGAATACAAAAAAAGAATGAAAAGAAAAGATAAAATAAAGAAAACATAGAATTATGCCTTCTGCCCATCTCTCTATCTAGTAATTTTCATCTTAACCTTTCCCCCATCCTCTCTGTGCCTTTTTAGTGAATTGAAAAATTCTAATTATATGTATATGTATATATATATGTGTGTGTGTGTGTGTGTGTGTGTAAATGTAAAATGAAGAATTGGAATACCCCATTTTGGAGAATCAATAGGTCCAGGTATTAAGAAATGTGAAATAGACTTCTCACAATTTAAAAATGAAATTAATTCATCTGAAAATACAATTTTGTGTGTATTGAATCCCTCAAAGAATGCTTAAAACAGGGAATGGATTTTGCCACTGGATTTCTTGTGTTATAAGAAACTTAAAGGTTGTTTAACAGATCCAGAATATGAATTCGCCAACCTATTTTTGAAAGTTCTCAAAATGATACACTATGTTGATACGGTCTAGATTTCATGGTAAGCTTAAGGGTCGAATTAACTTTATATTGTAGTTCCTATATAGATCTTTCTTCCTGCTATTTTTTTCTTTCCTTCTGTTTTTGTCATGTTTAATTTATTTTAATCACTATAATATATCTAGGTTTTTGTTTTTTTTCACTGTGCAATCACTATCTTTTTTCTCTGTTGGAGATATAAGAAGGGGTTGTTTTTTTGTGTTTAAAATTCAAAAAGAAGAAGAAAAGCTGCAGATTAATGCTGGTATCTCTGTGTGTTCCAAAGCCCTTTTGAAAAGAAAAAAAAATCTGAAATGCTGTACTGCACTAATATCTCCATCACCTAATATCAAAGTGTGTGTGTGTGTGTGTCTGTGTATAAAATGTGTGTGTGTGTATGTGTGTGTTTACTGTGTTAAATAGGTTAGCCCCCTCATCTGTAAATCAAGGTTACCCATGTACCCTACTCCTTGTTTTTCTTTTCCTCTCAACATTTCCATTCCAACTTCTTCAGCACAATTAATTTCAGTTTCTTAAGACCAGCAATAGTGTGCATACCCTTTTTCTGTGGCTTTTATTTCCGTTCCAGTTGGTTACGTACATTTGGAAACCTACAGCTTCTCCTTGACCAAAGAGCTGGGGGAAAATGTTAAGTGCTCACCCAAAGTAATAAATAGCCCTACTCTGCTTAGTTTCACCCTTGGGGAGAAGAACCGATCTGAAATCTTCCTTCCGTTCGCTGCGATAGTTCTGGGCCTGCGCACGCCGTACCTCCCAACTCTTCCTTGTAACTCTGCCAGCTTAATCTGACTCAGGGAGATCAAAGACTATTGTAGCAACTCTCTCAACCCTAGAGGCAGCGTACCAGTCATTGCCTGACTCATTGGCAAACAGCCTTCTGCATAATAAATCACTGCCCTGTAGCATTTTCTCTTGTTGTACCAGAGAAAGCCCATTATAAGCAGAAGAAAAGCAAGGAAGGACATGTATGTACCACCACAGGAGCTGGTGATGGTTTGGGCAGACCAGATTTGTCTTGCTAAGGAAATACTTGTAAAACTGAAGGAATCACTGCTTTTGAACAAGGCCTGGAACCAGAGAAAAGGGTTGGTTACGGTGGGTTGTCGTCACTGTTGTGTGGAAGTGAATGTTTTGCTGCTTTCTAAAAGTACTGTAGCGGAATGACAGCTTTTTATAGCATGTTTAAAGTCTTTGCAAGTTTGGTCCATCAAAGTAGACAGCCCACGCAACCGTTCTTTCTTCCGCAGAATCTGTTTGAAAGGAGAAGAAAGGGCCAGGAAAAATAAAATGAAATAAAATAAAACATGTGTTCTAGGGATGAGAGATGTTCTATTGTATTGCTGCAGTCTCTTTACAAAACTCCATTTATAGCTCATGGAGTGGGTGAGTGGTTGGAGAATTGAAAGCAATTTACACCCAGCAGCTGATGTGTTTTTGAAGCAAGGTGTGCATGGCCCATACAGTGGGACCAAGCTTTGATGTTTCCAGACACTGATAATGATGTGTTTGTGCAAGAGAGAGAGACAGAAAGGAGACCACAAGCATTCATGAAGACTTGACTCTCTGTGCTGATTCAAAGGGACAATTTTGGCCAGACCTGCACTTTCTGATGCCACCAGAAAGACCTCCTGTCATAGAATAGCTGAAGATACAAAGTGAAGGCAAGACATTTCTGGCTGAAGTCTTACTTCAGCCACATATTTACCAGAGAATCAACACCTATGGCTTGGATTCACACGCTGCAATAAGTCATAAACCCTGGAACTGGATTCCTGGGTAAGAAAAAAGTGGTTCTGTGGCTTTTGGTGTTTTCTATCTCTTTGTCTTCCTCCTTAGACTCCAGGTTGGTCATGACACCCAACATGGTCTGCTAAAGCAGGTTGCTGTCAATCTTTTGGAAGGGCTCAGCACATGACTAGTGGACATTGCCCAGCCTTATGATCCCAACTTGTGTTGGGTTTGACTTCTTATTTCCTCAATGAACACACTCACGTGGTGATGCATTTTGTGTCCCCCATATGTGCAATAATAGGGAAGATTCAACTCCTTTTTCAGACCATAGATTTGAGCCAGATACTGTATGTCCTTTTGCCACCTTGTCTGTCTACCCATAAACCTAATCAAGCCATTGATTGATTAAAGCCGGAGGAGATGTGGGTTGGGGGGGAGGGGGGAGTTGGGACAGCAACCACTATGCAACCTGATGCAAAAACTGAACAGTGAAGAAAAACTGGGTGGATCATTTCTGAGGGTTGAAATTCAGCCCAATGATGTCTCGAGGGCCTGCTCTTAAATTCAATAAATGTCAATCTGCAAGCAAACAACAGGCTGAGCATCATGCTTTAGGAGCATTAGGTATACATTGCACATGAAACCATTTAAACAATGCCCATGGTGCTCGTGCATTGTAGAAACAACCTTTCTCATTTGGTGTTCCTTTTTAAGGAGTGCCAAAGATGCACCTTCCATTTCCAGCACATTTGCAAACATCTTCCTTTTGTTTTCTCGCCATCCTTCTCTGCTCCATTCTCCTTCCTCCCTTGTGCTCTCAATGGCCATCAGCTGCAGTTGCTCACATGGCTCTTTCAATCCTACTTGGTTGCTGCAGTGATTCCTTTGATTTTCTGGATGACATCACAGCTCTGCAGCTGAAATAATGATGATGTCATGGGCTAAGGAGAGAACTACTTTTTAATTACCATCGGAGGTCAGAAACAAGCAGTACAAGAGTAGATGGAGTAACAAATGCCAAGGAGGTCAAAACTACAAAAAAGTAAAAATATTGCTCAAGTAAAGCCGTAGTCAGCTGTTTACAGATAGTTATGGCTGCTGTATGAAACCTTGCGACTTCATGTGCAATAAAAATGTTCTTATATGATAAAGTATTAAGATGTATCAGATGAGTGTCATGGGGGAAGAAAGCACTGCTCCTTAATGTATAGCAGTCTTCCCTGTGGCATGTGTCCTCCAGATGTTTGCAGCTGCATCTTCCAGAATTCCATCTTAGCATGGCCATGATCTGGGAATGGATGGGGGTTGCAGAAAGCTAAACAGATGATAAGGTTGAGATGGGAAGTTCCTGGTTTGGAAGTGGTGACTTGAGTGTGAACTCAAGGATGGTCTTCTGCTGAGCAGTCAGGAAATAATCGTATTGGCCTGCCTTACAGGGTGGTCAGTACTGCACCACAGATGTACACTGCACTGAATATCTAAAATGGGCAATAAAGGCTAGTTGGTATCATCACTATGAATAGCATCATTGTTGTTATTAATATCGTTGTCATTAAATAGAATTCCAAACCAGATCTCCCTTGGCAAGATGCATACGTTGTACGAAATGCATAGGGGTCTGCAGGAAAGACAAGGGAGGGGTGGGTGTTGCTACACCACAACAGCCCAATGCAAGCTCTACACTTTCAGACTTGGGTCACACAATGCACACTTTGTCATTTTTGTATTTCCATAATTAGGAACAGAAACTTCTAAGTAAACACCTTTCATGACAAAGGCTCTCTTCCTCTTCACCCGGATGACTCCTGTTTTCTTTCCCCTCCAGGGCATCTGCACCATGACAGCAGCCTTCCTCCACTTCTTCTTCCTCTCTTCCTTCTGTTGGGTGCTGACAGAGGCTTGGCAATCTTACTTGGCTGTGATTGGTAGAATCCGAACACGGCTAGTTCGTAAACGCTTCCTCTGCCTCGGATGGGGTAAGAGAGAAATTCTCATTCTGATCTAGAATGCCCTTGGTTCATCACTGGATGGCTGCCTTCACACAACATCTTCAACCAGGTCAGCAAAAGGCATAGCAGCTGCATTCACACAATATGCTAAGCTTAGTTGGTGTTAACCATCATTTATTTTGGGGCAACTTAGCATGTTATGTGAATCAAGGCCCAGGTTAGCTTTTGGATCCATGTGTTTGTTGTGTAAACCCTGAAAATGAGGCTAACTTAGGAGCCACCTTAAGCATGTTGTGTGAACACAACCAGTGAGTGCAAAATCCAGTTGATGGATCAAGTCCCCAAATCACAGTGAGGCTTAATGACTGTAATCCACCTGCATAGTCAAGTTAGGAAATCCGGAATTAGATGTCTTTGACACAGTATTGCTTGGCCTTTCCTTAAAGATCTCCAACTGTCATTCTTTAACTGGTTGAAGTATCAAACTGTTTTATCATTAAAAGGTTTCTCCAGATGATTAACCAAGATCCTTCCTCCTGTAACCTGTTTGATAAGGGGTGGATGTGGGGAGACAACATTTTTAAATGGCAAGCATGCATCAAGCCCTTCAAGGCTAACAAATTCAGGAAAGAAGAACCGCTTGGATTTGGGGAATGATCTTCCAGATCAACTTATACCTAGAGTAATTAAAGCTGAGTCTCTTTCTCACACTTCCCCCTTCCCTGCGCTAAGGAAACTTTTCTGTATGAACCCCGCTCCCATAATGGTCCTTCTCTGTCCTCCATATCCCCAGGATCTCCTAGACATTCCATCACATGTATGTGGGTGCACATGTGTGCGTATACACACACACACAGTCAACTCTTGCCACTTCGTGACCTTTCACCATTCTTGGCAAAAATCATTCAAGATTTCAGAGTTGTCCCCTGCAAATTCTCACCCTTTCTTGTGAGAATATTGGGATCTTGCAAAATGTGGCCATTTCACAAGGTTTTGCCTTTTTAACAGAATTCATTCAAACATTTCATTTGGGGATTCTGAACTCTATAGGGATCATGGACAGCCGGCCCCTGTATTCTGTATTTGATCCAGTGGCTTTCTGGGACACCAGTTTGCTCTATTCGAGTGTTGTCCAAACTTGGCCACTTTAAGATGAGTGGACTTCAACTCCCAGA